CTGCCTATCTTTATTTAAAACACAATTATCAAGCAAATCTAGTCTGTAGGGAAAATGTTTCAACAGAATTAATCACAAAAACAAAATGCCAATAAAATCTATTCTTCTAAAGAAAATGCACCCTTATGTAATAATTGTTTCATGGCATGATTTGTTACAACAAAAGAACTTTAAAAAAAAAAAGTTTTTATTTATTTGAAAAGCAGAGTGGCAGAGAAGCACAGAGAAAGAGATCTTCCTTCCACTGGGTCATTCCTCGAATGGCCACAACAGTCAGGTCTGCACCAGGAGGAAGCCAGGAGCTCTACCTGGTTCTCCCACGTGGGTGGCAGGCGCCCGAGCATCAGGCCGTCATCTGCTCTTTCCCAGGTTCACTAGCAGGGAGCTACTGTCAGAAGCAGAGCAGCGGCTGGCGCCGCAGCTCACTAGGCTAATCCTTCGCCTTGCGGCGCCGGCACACCGGGTTCTAGTCCCGGTTGCCCCTCTTCCAGGCCAGCTCTCTGCTGTGGCCAAGGAGTGCAGTGGAAGATGGCCCGGGTGCTTGGGCCCTGCACCCCATGGGAGACCAGGATAAGTACCTGGCTCCTGCCTTTCTCTCTGTCTCTCTCACTCACTGTCCACTCTGCCTGTCAAAAAAAAAAAAAAAAAAGTGGAGCAGCTAGGACTCGAACCAGCACACATATGGGATGCCAACACTGCAGACAGTGGCTCTACCTGCTATGCCACAGTGCTGGCCCCTCTGCCTTTCAAATACAATGAAAACATAATTTAAAAAAAAATACCTAAATATTATATTATTCCCTAACTACAAGATTGAACATTTATTTCTACTATACTTTAGGCTTATTTATGAAAGAAATAGTACTTCCTAAGGTTTCCATAATATTTCATTAAAATAGACTGTTTCCAATTGTGAAAGCAAAATATCAGTAACAATAATTGGGTTTTTACCCTTAAGTAGAATCAGGGAGAAAAAATTGTTCCATTCTAATTACGTTCTCTATTATCTACAGTATATTCTTTTATTCTTTCTGGGCTTGTCTATAATATTCTAAGTCTGCTCTTTCAACAACTTTGGAAAGTATTTGTGAAGAATCAAGTGACTGTACATTCGAAATTACTAAATCATTTTAAATACAGATTCAACTAAAACCACTTGTATCTGTTTAGATTAGAAGTGCTCTCGTGGAAGTATATTCTTTCATGGAAGTATACATTCACGGAAGTATGTACTACCTCATTTCAGATATGACATGTGTCAGAGTATATTTTCTGTCTGATTACTATGTCCCTAAAAAGAGCAAAGAAAACATTCTTATTTCACTAAAAGTTTTTTTCTGTTTGTTTTTTCTGACAGGCAGAGTAGACAGTGAGAGAGAGAGACAGAGAGAAAGGTCTTCCTTTGCCGTTGGTTCACCCTCCAATGGCCGCCGCTGCCTGCGTGCTGCGGCCTGAGCACCGCGCTGATCCGAAGCCAGGAACCAGGTGCTTCTCCTGGTCTCCCATGGGGTGCAGGGCCCAAGCACTTGGGCCATCCTCCACTGCACTCCCGGGCCACAGCAGAGAGCTGGCCTGGAAGAGGGGCAACCGGGACAGAATCCGGCGCCCCGACCGGGACTAGAACCCGGTGTGCCGGCGCCGCAAGGCGGAGGATTAGCCTAGTGAGCCGCGGCGCCGGCTTTCACCGAAAGTTTTAAGTTGGGTCTCAGGGATAAATCATTGTAATCCTAAAAATATCATATATACAACTTCCCACTTTTACAAACAGGATACTCTTTCAACAATTTCCAAGGAGCCAAAGTTTCCCAGTGGAGAGATGGTCTATCTACAAAATAATTTAATTACCTGTACACAATTACACTCCAAACCAAGAGGGAAGAACTGGAAGGTGGGGGTTTCCCAGCAGTAAGACATTTATAGAGTCCCCTGGTCATTCTCCTTTCCGAATGCAATCTCACTGAAAGACCTCGGAGCTCTCCTGGTTAAGCCCCACTGCATGGTGTCTTGACTAGACAATGCTGGGCAGCGAGTCCTGCAGCCTGAGTCACTGGGGAGAGCAATCCTGAAGAGCTGCCTTTCATCTGTGCATGCCAGAACATTCTGCTGAGGCTCCCTGCAAAGGGCTGGGTGTGGGCCCTGGCTAGCTGACTTTAAAAGGCCCATGGCTTCCAGAGAGTGCCATGTTGTATACAGCCTTCATGTTCATGAAGAGAAAAGACAAAAGATACCTCCCAAATGGCTTTCGCATCGACCTCCTCCTCTCTCTTCTCCCCAGCCACGCCAGTCCATGCTATCATCACAGCTGGCCTGGATCACCCCCTCCGGACAGGGCTCTTAGATTTGGCAACGTGAACATACACACACCACATGCACACAGTCATACTCACACACCCATGCCACTCTCAGCATCAACCAATAATCTTCTATTATCACTGCAGATAATCACGTCACTCCCCGCTCAAAGTTCTTCAACAGCTTGCCAGTGCACTCAGGATAAAAGTCCAAAGTCCTGAACATACTAAAGGAGCCAAGTACCACAAATTCTCCCACCTCCCCAGCTTCTGCTCTAGCTGATCCCCATTTATGACCTACCAAATGAACCAATGAACTTTGTCTTCCTCAAAAGTGTAATGCCCACTCTCACATCCTGGGTTTCAATCATGCTATTCCCTCTGCCTGAAAGAAACACTCTTCTATTTCCACTCTCTCCTCCTCCTACCCTTCCAGCAATCTGTCTAGGCTAAAGTGTCACTTCTTCCAAGCTCCCTACCTGGTTCTTCTACCTCCCTCCCAGCCAGGGTATACACTTCTCAGGATCCCCTGCACAATTCATCACAACTAGTTGTATGCCCTATGCCCCAGAGGACAGGGCCACCACCCTCTCAGCCATTATTATATCAGAGGCACTCAAATATCTGTTGGATAAATTCTAAGTTTTCTTAATGAAAATAACATGAATATGGCTCATGTAATAGGAGAAATGTTCAAAATGAGTTACGGTGTGATGGAAACAAGGCATCAATTTTGTTCTCCTTTGGTACAAAATACAAACTAAACAGTTGTCTATAAACACCCTAAAGAAAGGTTAAAACACTGCACAATAAAAACACTTTCACCATAACAAAAATAGTTTTGTGTTCACTACTCCTCTTGGGCAATTTGCAGTTTATAAAAACTGCCAGACGGAACATATCAAAAAAAGAAAAAAAAAGTTCTGGCTGCTTGCAGATCAAGTAAAACATCAGCACTAAGTTTTCCTGCCTGCTACTACCACTCTTCTGCAGAACCATGCTGGCTGAAGTTGGAAGGCTAGCCCATCTCCTTGGTTTCAGTGAGGATTCCACTCATGATAATGGTCCCCAGAACATACACGTGTTGCCAGGAGACAGGCCTCTGATGGATCCCAGGCATTAGTTGTCACTGGCAGCCTTCTTAAGGCTCATGTCTTACAAGTTATAATCTGAGGCTTGTGATATGGGATTTTTCCAGGCCACCAGACTGATGTCATACATGTGATGGCACTAAGCATGCCAAAGGCCTGCCACCTCCACCCTACAAGTTAATCCATCCTCCTCAAGCCTCAGTTTCCCTATCTAGTAACGAGGACATAACGCTTCCTACCTCGAAAGGTTCTTGTGGGAATGAGAGCACGTGGCACACAACCCAACTACTACTGTCAAGTCAAGACAAAGCGAAGACTATAAACCTAAAATATGCCCACATATTCAGGACTTTTGACAACGCTTTTGGTAATTTTCACTAATACCCTTCCACTAGGTAGAAAGATGAGAAAGTGAAGACCCACTTCTTCCTTACAACCTTGGGCTTTGACAAAATCAAGACATGCACTTTAAGATCCACTTTCTAGTTTTTCTCTGCAGTCCTAAAATCACGGCCTTAATTTCTAAACTAATTCCTCAGATATCGACAACTGCAAAGACAAACTACTTCAGGACTTCTCTCCAAGATGTCCTCCGGGTAAATAACTCCCTTCCTGCCCCTATGCACCTCCATAAGTAATGAATCTTTTAAAAATAAAGCAGCACAGGGTAGGCCCTCGGTGCCTCATCTCCCCACTAGGAAGCAGAGTCATGTGGTCCGATGGAGGCACCTGTTAGGTGGCAATCCACGAAAACTGAAAATCTGAGGTGTTACAAGGAGAATTTAAACTGTACCTTGGGAGGGTGTCATTTTCCACCTCACATTTTTTTCATCTGAACACAAGATATCCAAGTCCTCTATGCTGTCCACTGTGAACATTTGTGTCATTTTTTTTTAATTAATGGACAAAAGGGAGAATCTGGCAGTCAACTGAGTAAACTGGCTTTCATATTCCCCCAGCCAGGCAGACTTGGGGTTTTGTTGGGATTTTTTGACAAGGGAATTTTACAGCTCTCCTGAAAGGCGTCTGAAACAGTCTTATAGGTCTCTTCCCCAGCCCGGGTTCTGGACTCGATTTTTACAAATGGTCGACGTGTGAACTGCCTCCTGAAAGCAAATGGGGCACTGGGATATAATTTAGGAAGTGATGATGCAAGTCTCTTGGGGACAGGGAGGAGGAAAGGTGAAAAAGTCAGAGGAAATACCCTCCCGGTGCCAGGGCACCCACTCGGGGGGAGGGAGGGCGGCCTCCGCACCGCCGAGGGAAGGGGGCACCCCAGCTCCACCTGGAGGTGCCAACGCCGCCCCCTCACCCCTTCCTGGCCGCCCAGCACCCCCCCTCCTCAGCCGTGGCCCCGCCGGCCCCCATCGGCCCAAGCCTCAAGCCTACCCGAGGGTGGCAGCGCACCCAGGACGGGGCCTTCTTCGCCCACCCCAGCTCCCCACCCGCCAGCCCTCCCCGGGACGCTACCCCTGCCCCCTCCCTGCAGGCCCGGCCTGGGCCCAGCCCCCAGGGCTCCGGCCTTCCGGGCCCCGAGCGCCCACCCCCACCCCAGCCCCCGGCAGCCCGGCCCCCGCGGCCCCCACACCGCCCCCGCCCCCACCCTGCCCGCACTTACCCCCAGAAGCCGCAGGGACAGCGCGGCGGCAGGCTGGGCGCTTTGCTGCGCTCGCTCCCGGCGTCTCCCATGGTGCTCGGCGGCGGCGGAGCTCGGCGGCGGCAGCGGTGGCGGCGGCGGCGGCTGGGCCTGGGCCCCGCTCGAAGGAGGCGGCGGCAGCGGCGGCGGCGTCGGGGGGCTCGGGGCAGGGGGAGGGGGAGGGAGCGGGCGCGCGGGCGGGCGCGAGTCCGGGGCTCGGAGCCGGGATTCCAGGCCGGTCAGCTGGAGGCGGGCCGCACCACTCGGCCTGCGGAGACGGGGGGGCCGGGGGAGGCGCGGAGAGAGGAGGAGGGGAGCTGAGGAGGAGGGGCGTGCGGGTGAGCCGAGGACCGCAGGGGAGGAGGGAGACCCGGCGCCCTCGGCAGCTCCCACCGCCGCTCCCCAGCCAGAGTGATGTCCCGTGCGGCGGCGCGGGGAAGGACCTGAGGTCCCCGCCGGCTCTGGAGTCGCAGCGGCCGCTGTGAAGCCCCGGGCCCCGCTCGCTCGGCGACACGCTCCCCTCCCCCGGAGGTTGCGATGACCGGACAATGGCCGCTCCGCCCCCTCCCCTCCGCGCGCACCCCTCCCAAGGAGTCACAATGGTCTCGCCCGAGGGAGACGCCGCCAAAGCCCAGCAGCTGATCAGCTGGGATCCGGGCGTGCCACTTTGTTCAGTGCCTCAAAGGCAGAGTACGGGGCTCTGGGCAAGGCCGACGGCATCGGGTTAGCAGTCGGCAGCCGGCCTCTGAGACTTTTGTATTCTTGTAACTTTTAAAATCTGAGGCAAACTTACCTTCCCCGTCTGAGGAAAGGGAGCAGGTTTCTGAGCGCTCTGGGGCGCGTTGCGTCCCCCCTAAGCGAATGGTACGCCCCAAGCGGGAGGGGGAGGAGCGCACTACTTGTTTAGGATAAGTTGGGCCAGGCCCCGGAGCGGCGGCGCATGCGCCCTGAGACCCCGAAGCCGGGTGTGGGGTGGGGCTTGAGAGGGAGCGCTTCCAAACCCGGAAGTGGGTCTGGGGCTTTCGGGCGTCTTTGGCTGCCAGGGAAGTCTCCGAAGCACCCGGCTTCGTATCTTGGCGACACCTGGGAGTCTCTCTTCCCCCAACTACCGTGCCCCTGGGACTCTCCCTTGCTTCCCAGTACCCCCTTCACCCAACCCATCCTGCCAGTTCCACGCAGAAAGCTGGTCGCCTTTTGGCCGCAATGAATTTCTGGGAAGCGTCCCCCCTCTACCCACCAGCAGCGTTGGGGCGGGGCGGGGGGCAGCTGGTGAAGTTCTTTGGCCTCTGCTCCCCCACCTCAAAGCCACAGCCCACTCCCTGTGCCCCGCCGGGGAGAACCTCTTCTACGGCGCACGGGTTTGGTTCTGGAGTGGAAAGCTGGTAACTGTGGCCACATCAGTGATGGAAGTTGCTAAGTGGACAAAGAAGTCTGGGGCACGAAGAGTCCTTTGCCTCTCCTCGTCCTTGACCCTTCACTCATTCTCATCTGTATCCAGTCGTGAACAGAGAAGCTGGCTACTGATGACTGGTTTCAACACGGAGGAAACTTCCAGCTGACCTCTTGGAGGAGTGACCAGTCGTCTGTGGGCGACCTACTTCCAGGAGGGGTCCCTGACTCTGGAGTGCTTGCCATGCACCTTCCCAACCCGACAGCAATGTGAGCGCCTCGGAGGGCATTGCCTGCGTTAGTTTTATTACCAATGTTGTGGTTTCGTTTCTTTATAAACCAGATCATATTTCTCTTTCTGCGTCGTCTGTGGATTTAACATTGCTGTCTAAAGAACAAGGCTCAGATTAACTTAGAATCCTCCTAAACCTGCTGTTGACGTTGACGATGACTGCAAAAATTAAGTCGTTTAAAGCCAAAATATGAGTGCTGATTTATGCAAAAGATTTAGTTTTGATGTTGTGAACTTTCACAAGCCTTCAATAAGTACTTGTCAAAAGCCATAGACTAGGCACTGGCGCTGTTGCGTAACCCGTAAAGCCGCCGCCTGCAGTGCCGGCATCCTGTATGGGCACCGGTTTGAGTCTCGGCTGCTCCACTTCTGATCCTGCTCTCTGCTGTGGCCTGGGAAAGCAGTAGAAGATGACCCAAGTCCTTGGGCCCCTGCACCCACATGGGAGACCCGAAAGAAGCCCCTGGCTCCTGGCTTCAGATTGATGCAGCTCCAGCCGTTGTGGCCAATTAGGGAGTGAACCAGTCAATGGAAGACCTCCCTCTCTGCCTCTCCTTCTCTCTGTGTGTAGCTCTGACTTCCAAATAAATATATAAATCTCTTTAAAAAAAAAAAAAAAAAACACAGACAAGAGGAAGCCATACAGCATACCTCACTCGCATTTGATTTGTATTATCCTTAAGTCTTCCCTGGAAACTGACCTAAAACTGCTGCACACATGAAAGAGTTACAGCTTTGAGTTTCACTGAGGTTAAGTGGATCTCTTTTTCTATTGACATCCTAGTGAATTTCTTTTATGTATAGAAAAGGAAACCCTAAAACCAAAAAGGAAATTTTAGTTTAGAAAATGATTGTTATTTTACCCACTGCTTGTCTTCCTGCCTGCCAGTTATTCAGTGAACGTTTATTGAGTAGCTAGTACAGGCATTTCCTAAACCCAGGGAGACTAAAAGGAAGAATAAAATGTAGTGTTCCATCAGCAGGTGCATACTCCCTGCCAAGGGAGTTCCATCCTCTGGATTCCATCTTCTCTCAGGCTTTATTGCCTACTCTTCTCTCTGCATCCTGCCAGTCAGCCACTGGTTTCACTCCTCTGGTGCACTTGCACCATTGCATTCCCTTGGTCCCTCACCCACTGCACCACTACCCTTCCTCTCTTGCCCAGTGCACTCCTGCTGCCGCTTCAGGAGCGTGTTACCTTTTCAACACCTGCCAGACCCTGCCTAGGCCGAGTCCGTCCCTCCTTCCTCTGTCCATAGGATCTCTATGATGAGATCACAAAATGCACATGTTTGTCTCCCTGTTTCCAAAAGGTCTGAGATTGAAGCAAACGCAGCCCGTGTGTGTTAAATGGAAGAACTGGGCTCTTTTGTCTGCAAGTAATAAAACTCACTTAAACCAATTTGCGAAACCAAATATATATACACACACACATATGCATACGTGTCATCGCCCAAGGGTACAGAATACAGCAAGCGCTCTGAAGGACTGAAACAAGGACTAAAATATCAACAGGAAGCCAAGTGGCTATTCCCGCAATATCTCTGTTTCTCTCCGGTCACTGTTCTTTCATAGATGTGGCTCTGTACAAAACTGCTTCGTTCTGTTCTGCAGAATTGTTTTCACTGCTTCTCTGGGAACAGAGTTCAAGCTTACCTACCCTCACTTCGAGAACCAGCAGAGACTAATTAGTATCATGAATCCCAATTTTCAGAAGAAAGAACCTGATTGGTCCAGCTTATGTCAGGTTGTCTAATCTTGGCACAGCTTCCTCTGACCCATGGAGCATTATGTAGTCAACTCTTTGTTTTGTAATGCGAACATGGTTGCCAGAGGCCCATCCTAGTCAGCTGCTTGACTTGAAAAGTTTTATATATATATATATGTATATATATATATATAAAATATATATTTTTTCAAAGGTCAGTAATGTTCCTGGCAAAGATTCCAAAAGATGTCCACCACTGACCAAAATTTAAAAGCAAAGAGCAGTGGGCATGTTCAAGATTTTTCCAAAACAATGACTCCAAAACTATTTCAGATGTAAATTTAAATGGCAAACTCCCTCAAAGAGGCCCTCTGTGACCCCATAGCCTCAATCAAAATTATGATACCATATTATTATCTTAAATGACACCCTTCTCCTTGATAACGCCTATTTCAGTTTATAATTAAATATATATTTGTGAGTCACCTCTCCAAAGATCATATCTGTTTCGCTCACCATGATAAACATGATGCCCAGGGCACATTTAGCAGGCATTCAATAAATATTTGTTGAATGGGAAAAGGGCACAATAACTTGTTAATCAACGTGAAAAGACCTGTATATGCATTGGCATCCTGATCAGACTGCCCTAGGGGAATGTCTCAGTCATCAACCCATCTTCCATTGAAGATACTGAAACTCAGTACTAGCATTTTTGCCACTGTCATTGTATGAAATGAGAGCCAGGTACACCTGCCTCCTACCATGATGTTTCCTGCCAACTAACTCTTCACTCTTAGTTCCCAAGGTCTCTGTCTGCAAAGCCCTTGATCCAATCTTATAACACGCACACTTAGTTATCTGAGAGCTCAGAGAGGACATAAAATTTCAGGGCATCATCAAATTAGGGGAACAAAGAGTGGGGGTAATTGGCAGAAATGCTCTTGTCATAATTATCTTCACTATTTTCTAGTGTGGATTACGTTCCAGATGAACCTGTAATGTGACTCTTGGGAGTAGTTTGCAATCACCAATGGCCCAAAAGGAGCCGTCTGTGTGCTCAGTAGGGTCTAGTAAAGGATAATATTAATTCTTCAGCAGCCAAAGCTTTTGAAGTAGCAACTGAGATTGTATGGGAAAGAGCCTGGGCTGACTCAAGGGCAGGGCCTCATAAGGGCTGCTTTCTTGCTAACGGTGCAAAGTCCCTACTGAACCCTGGAAGTCACAACCAGGGCTGGGAACCTTTTTTCTGACATTTGGATATTTACATCATTCATGGGTCATAAAAAAATTACCAACTGAAAACTTAGCCTGCTAGAGATTTTATGAATTCCAAGTCCCACCTGTGGTTGCCTTGGCAAGGCCAGACCAAATGATTTCACAAACCTTGTATGGCCTAGAGGTTGGGTGTCCCCAACCCCTGACATAACCAAAAAAGAAAAAAGAAGTAGAAGAAATGGATAGAGACCTGAGAGGAAACAGATAATCTCTCCCTGTAATTCTCTTCTTGGTCAAAACCTTTTGTCATTATGATTCATTCTAACTTGACGTTAGCCCCAATAGCCAATCCCAATTCTGCCCTCAAGCTTAATCCTAATCCTAATACTGGCTGTAAAATTTCACCCCACATTTCAAACCTAATCTCAACTAGGATTCTGTGAGTTTAACAAAGGCTCCTTGCCTTGCCATTGAGTTATTTCCCCCAGTTCTTCTTTCTTCTTGGGACCTTTGACCCTAACCCACCCATAACATCCTGGACCCCTGGGAAGAATGGGAATCAATACCAATAATCCAAAGGAAACAAACGAGCTCTGGCCTGCCAAGAAAGAGAAAACGGGGCATTTCACACTTGAGGGGGAGGTAGGGACCCTGCCCAGTCACAACATGTCCTGTTGCCCAAGTCAGGACATTATCTGAATTCCAGAAAACATGAGATCAAGCAACCTGTGCTGGCAGGCAGCAGAGAGCCTAAGACCCTTTGGCAAAACAATAAGGTTCTCAAAGAGCACAAAGTCTGGCACCTGCTCTCCTCTCACATTTGGGTTTGATTTTCCACAAAGCGGGGTGGGGAGGGATGTTGTTCTCAGAGCCACTGAATCAACCCCTCCTCTGAGGCGCCTGTGGCTCCTGAGCTTTCTGGATGTGCAGTTGATCCTTTGAGTCACTCACGGTCCAGTTGGCATGGATAAACTCTCAGAGCCAGGGGAAGAGAAGGGCAACCAAGCATGTTGTCTCCATCCCGTCTCAGGAAACTCAAAATAAATGAAATAAAACGAAGGGTGCAACGGGGAAGAGAGGAAAGCGAGGAGAAAACGCTGCCATTTCACGTCCCGGGCTCCTCGTGTTCATGAAGCAACTGCTGATTTCCCTGCTGCTCACACCCGTCTTGGTGTGAAATTTGATTTCACTGACTTTTAAATTTCTTTTCCAGAATGGAAATCATTGTTTTTCCCAGAAATACTTGACCTTTCTTGGGAGAAAGAATTCAAATAATGAGAAAAGTTCTCCCTACCACCCCCCACCCCGGCAAGGATCCCCTGTGCTGGCGGCGCAGTGTGGAGCCCTCCAGGATACTCATTTGTGTATGGTCTTATGGATGGGGTCATGCTCTAGCGGATTCGATTCTGGCTTTGAGATATGTCATGAACGTCGTCCCTCTCTCCAAATGTGGCTTTGCAGTATATTCTTGGAGCTAAGTATATCCATCAGCATTCTCCAGAGAAACGGAACCAATGGGAAGCATATACATATGAGATTTATTACAAGGAGTTGCTTGGCAGGATTATGGAGGCTGCGAGGTCCCAGATCTACATCTGAGAGCACCTGTGGTTTACGTTCCAGACTGGGTCAGGAGAAGACTGATGTCCCACTCAGACCAGCCGGCCAACGGTGAAGCACCCTTTGTTCTATTTAAAAGGCCTTCAGGGGCTTAGAGAAGGGCTGCCCAATCTGCTTCGCTGGATCCACTCATTTGTGTTAGCCTATTCAGACTGCTCTAACAGAATACATCAACTGAGTATTTTAGGCATGGAAAGCCAAGACACTCTGGCCTCAAGTAATTAGAATAATAAAGAAGGGGGCGTAAATGAAAGATCTCTGTGAGTGAGATCCCAGTGGAAAGAACATGCCATTAAAAAAGGAGGTACCGCAGTAAGAAACAACGAAATCCAGTCATTTGCAACAAAATGGAGGAATCTGGAACACATCATGCTGAGTGAAGTAAGCCAGTCCCAAAGGGACAAATACCATATGTTCTCCCTGATCGGTGACAACTGACTGAACACCAAAAAGGAAACCTCCTGAAGTGAAATGGACACTATGAGAAATGGTGACTTGATCAGCATAGCCCTGACTGCTAATGGACAACTTAATACATTATCCCTCATAGTATTTTTTTTTTGTCTGTTCTACTTAATATGACTGGTTTAATTCTGTAATTATCACACAGTTATTCTTAAGTGTTGAAAATTAACTGAAATGTGATCCCTGTTAAACATAAGAGTGGGAATAAGAGAGGGAAGAGATGTATAATTTGGGGCATGCTCGGGCTGACTTGCCCCAATTGGTAGAGTTGGAAACATACCAGGGGATTCCAATTCAATCCCATCAAGGTGGCATGTGCCAATGCCATCTCACTATTCCAAGTGATCAATTTCAGTTCACAATTGATCATAATGAAAGGGCTAAGAGTCAAAGGGAGCACATAAACAAGTCTAGTATCTGCTAACACCAACCAATAGAATAAATAAAGGGGAGAGTGATCCAACATGGGAAGTGAGATACTCAGCAGACTCATAGAATGGTGGATGTCCTAAATAGCACTCTGGCCTCAGAATCAGCCCTAAAGGCACTCGGATCTGGCTGAAAAGCCCATGAGAGTATTTCAGGCATGGAAAGCCAAGACACTCTGGCAAAAAGATCTCTGTGAGTGAGATCCCAGTGGAAAGAACAGGTCTTCAAAGAGGGAGGTGCCTTTCTCTGAAGGGAGGAGAGAACCTCCACTTTGACTATGACCGTGTCTAAACAAGATAAGAGTCGGAGAACTCAAGGGGCTTCCATAGCCTTGGAAACTCATAACTGGTGCATAGGGAGATTACTGATGCCATAAACAGGAGTGTCAATTTGTAAAGTCAACAACAGGAGTCACTGTGCACTTACTCCTCATGTAGGATCTCTGTCCTTAACGTGCTGTACACTGAGGCTTAATGCTATAACGAGTACTCAAACAGTATATTTCACTTTGTGTTTCTATGGGGGTGCAAACGATTGAAATCTTTACTTAATGTACACTAAACTGATCTTCTGTAAAAAAAAAAAAAAAAAAAAAAAAGAAATTATCAA